AGAATAACTATATTATGGACCCCTAATTGCAAGCTATATGTATCTAACACAATTCGGGTGATGCACAAAGAATAGATTAGCATTATCTACACATTCAATAGATAATCCATAAAATTAGCCGTTTCCATAAACTTTGCATTGCCCGTGTTATTCCTATGCCATAGACTTAGCTTTACCCATGTTATTCCTATGACATAGACTTAAACTGTAATCCCATAGAAACATATGTAAAAGCGTCGCCATGTTAATCCTATGAGAGCCTTCCCATGTTAATCCTATGTCATAGACTTAAGCTGTAATTCCAAATTAAATCCCATAGGGCGGAAGGGGGAGGGGGCCGAACGATCTTATAAACCACATTATTTATACTGAATTGTGGTTAAAAATTATTTGTAATTATAATAATTTTATTTTGTGTTAAATACATATAGCTTGCAATTAGGGGTCCATAATATAGTTATTCTCAATGATTGGGAGGCAGTAAAGGATGCCTTTCAAAAGGACGCCTTCTTAGACCGACCCAAAGACAGTCCATTCACTATTGTAGACATCGATAGCAGTAATTATTATAATTGAAAATTAATTATTTGTTAATTAAAAGTCAATAATTTGAAAAGGTTTTGGCAATGATAACGGGCTCTTATGGAAAGATCACCGGAGGTTTGCGTTACAAACTATGCGAGACTTAGGGTTTGGAAAGAGAAGTATGGAGGAGAGGATTGCCAATGAGATCACGCATTTCACTAAACTTATCGATCAAACCGATGGCCAGGGATTCAATTTTCATAAACTTCTGACTCCGAGTATGTCTAACAATATCTGTCATCTGGTATTTGGACACCGGATGGACTTCAATGATCCCAAACGTATTATATTTGATAATGTGTTGGATAACAACGCGGCGCTGTTCTCAATGCTCGGAGTTTTATCTGTATCTCCCCTTTGGTTCTGTAAATTAATCTTAAAATTGGGAGCATTTAGTAATACAGGATTTAAGACCATTACTGGAATTTTTGTGTATAAATTTTTATTCATTCATAAATTAATATTTATTAACAAATTTACTGTTTTGATAGTAAGGAAATAGAGTCACACCAGAAGACAATGGATCCAAACAATAAACGTGATTATATCGACGGATTCCTCAATGAAATGAAAATCAGACAACAAAAAGATCCCAACACTAGTTTCACGAGTTAGTATATGTTTAATATACATTTATATCTGTATTAGTTATGAAATGTGAACATTTAGTACAAATGTTTGTCATTTAAATTCATTTGAATTTATTTCTAATCTGTGTTTTAGTTAATAAATTATCAGCGAATAGCAAATCCTTCTTCTTTGGGGGCAGTGATACTGTGCGGACAGCAGTCGAGTGGTTAGTATTAGTGGCCGTAAAACACAAAGGCATTCAAAAGAGATTACACGAAGAGATCGATGATGTGATCGGTAGAGACCGGAGCCCCACGTGGGCTGACAGGCTTGACATGCCTTATGTTCAGGCAGTCATTAATGAAGTGTTTCGTTGGAGAACTATTGTACCATTGAATTTAATGAGAAGGTAAATTGTATACAAAATACAATATTTGTCTGTACATAAAAGCATATTTTTTTAACAAGTATGTAATTAATGCAATAAACTTAATTTTTAATTATTTTTAAATATATAAACAGCGCTTCTGAAGACGCGTATATTTTGGGTCATTTCATACCCAAAAACACCAAAATAATGGCTAATATATGGGCTGTCCATTACGATCCCAAAGTATGGAACAACCCTGATCAATTCAATCCCAATAGATTTTTAACACCTGATGGCAAACATTTGATTAAAACCGAAGCTTTGATACCCTTTTCTTACGGTATGTTTTTATTACTTTTTAATTAATTAGTGTTTATTAGAGTTATATTTAATAATTATTACTTGTATTTGAAGGTAAACGCAATTGTGTTGGCGAGACATTAGCACGAGTGGAGGTATTCTTGTATTTCGTTTCACTTTTACAAAGATATACAATAAGTGCCGAAAACGAAGAGATGTTGTCATTAGACGACAGATTTGGGCTAACATTACAGCCAAAGGAATCGTTTATTCTTAGGTTTCAAAAACGATTTTAATCAATACAATCATTTAAATTTTGTGATTTAAATCTCACTACTTTGTGATGAATAAATTTAAACACATAATTGTTTCCTATATTTGCCTAATTATATGCTATTATTTCAATTCCAAATTATTAATAACACTAATTAAATAACTTTTCTAGAAACTTTCATTTATTAAATAACTACCGTAGTGTTTTCCTAAATAAGTAAATGTTAATTAAAATTGTATAACAAACTGGCTTTAACTCTCGATCCTATAACTTGTTTTCTAAATGCTTTTTAAATGAATTGTTTTAAATGTTTAATTGTTTTAAAGTGATTGTTGCAATAAATTGTTTTGACTAAAGTTAGCACTAATCCGAAATAAATCTACACAACAACTTTGTCTATTCTTATTATTTATTCTTTATTTTATGTAATATTATTTTACGAATTGTTGATTAAATACTATTATAATTTGGCAAAATAACAAGAATCGCATTTAACAGCTGGTATGGGAACGTTTGTAACCACTATCTGCTTCACAAATTGATTGATTTAGCCATTAAATGGGCAGATAATGTCTTACGGAGATATTTGTCATATATTTTCTTATATTGCGGAAAAACGGCGGCAAAAGTGCTATATTATGACATAATTTAGTTCATAATTATGCCTTGAGTTTCAATGTCAATACATTTTATTATACTATCCAAAAGCAAACTAAATATAAATACTTTAATACAAACAAATTTATTACAATATATACAATAATATATAATAAATATTGTTTTAGAAATACTTGTTTTAAAAGACAATTGATTGCAATAATTCAATCGTAAAGCTGTTAAAAAGTTTACAAAACTCTCAAAGTTTTAACACATAATTAAGCTTGTGAAATAGCATACATTTGTCACGGTATACAATTGACAAGTTAAGTGGGTTTAAAACAAACAAGGATCACACAGCGATGCTATACGTTAATCACTATTCGGGAAATGCATCAAAGATTTTAAATTTTTCGATACTATTGTTGGAATATTTTCACTATTATTATTTTTAGAATTTTAAATGTTTTTGACAACAATTAGTCCTATTTATTATGGCAAACTCATTTATAATCCCATTGTCCCATAGACTTAGCATTACCCATGTTATTCCTATGTCATAGACTTAGCATTGCCATAGACTTAGCATTACCCATGTTAAACCTACGCCATAGACTTAAGCTGTAATTCCATAGAACCCATGTTAAAGCATTCTCCCATAGACTTAATATTGCCATAGACTTAGCATTACCCATGTTATTCCTATGTCACAGACTTAGCATTACCCATGTTATTCCTATGCCATTGACTTAACATTGTCCATAGGATTAGCATTGTCTATAGACTTAGCATTACCCATGTTATTCCTATGCCATTATTAGCCAGAACAAATACAGACAACAATACAACCAAGTACATTTTTGATTGAATATGCTCTTTGTAGTGTTCAAAATG